ATTAAATTCCAGTAGGGTTTTCCTTGTTTCAAAACATCCTTCTTGGCGCTCTGTCATTATGTTTGGCAATGGAGAAAAATCTTTAGAAATTTCTTTGGTTTAGATTCACTATGTCAACACTGAAAATACGTGAAATGTTTTGCCTTATTTTTTGTTGCTAAGACGATTGCACAATGGACCGAAAATGAGTTCCTAAGAGAGTCAAAGTGCATTTCAGGAAAGAGAAGGGAGCGCCAGTTCAACATAATTGTCACTTAAGTTGAATGTTCTCTCTACACAATAGACAGATGTGTCTTCACAGTTCTCACACCATAACAGCACAGACCACAGTAATATCTGTGACCCGTCTCCTTATTTCCCTCACATCACATTCAACAGAGCCAACATGGTGGACACAGCAGTCACTGCACACATCTGGTTTCTCCTGAATTTGCAGCACTTGGCAGTGACGTAGAACCAAAGATGGAGGAGCTGAGGGTGCTGGCCCATCTGTTTCTGCTGAAATCCCAGTTTCTCCGAGTGAGAGACAGGATCTGCGGTGGTGATGATGCAGAGCCAAGATGGAGGAACAGAGGGGACGAGGCCCACATCTGTTTCTGCTCAGCGAGCTGCTCAGTTCTGAGGAAAAGGGCCTGTAGAGCTGGCTTTACTGGGGAATGGACACTGCACTCGCCAAGTCAGCCTGCTGCCTTACTGGCACAGGGGCAATAGCCACACACACACACACATGCACACACTGAGCAAGGGCATCAAGGGCAGAGCGTAGGCGGCTGTGTGTGTGTGTGTGTGTGTGGTATTCTGGGTTGGACCATACTTGGATGCGCCGGGCCAAGCAGCAACTTTGTCGGAATGTTTGTACTCTGCTCTTTAACTCTCTGTCTCCCCGTCTTTCCGTCTCTCCGTTCCCTGTGATGTCGGAGTTTTGGTTCATTTTTTTTCTTCCTCTACAAACCTTCCATCCATCTCCCTCCTCTCATCTGTCCTCCGATTCCTACATTCCTCTCCTGTCTCTGTTTGCCCCCCTACCTCCCGACAATCCCCTGAACCCTCATGCTCTGATTGTTTTACAGGAAGCCCAGTCACGGGGTGTTATGTGCATGTGTGCGTCTGTGTGTCGGAGTGTGTGTGTGGTACATCTAGCTGACTCAGCCTGATCTCCAGCCCGGTACTGAGACCCTGGCAGACCAGAACAGACAACTGACGACATGCTGACATGCTCCTGTCCGTCATGTGTGTTAGTGTTGTTGGAGCACTGCAGTACATGCCACATGAAACCATGATACTCACAAGCTGAGCTGTCGACCTCGCTTTCCTTTTCCTGCTTTGGCACTCATCTGAGACGATTCTCTGCTATGTGTTCTATGTCAGCCTGGTGTGTGTGTGTGTGTGTGTGTGTGTGTGTGTGTTCACTGTAAGAAGCTGTGCAGTCTCCCCCACTGCATTGCAGTCAAACACAGCCTTTTATGTATGTTGGATTTGCAGATGTCCAGACTTGCACATGCACCACACTACTGGTGTGTGTCTGCAGGTTCGAATGCACTCAAGTATGTGAGCAATGATACTAATTCGATTAAATTGTCGATGACATATTTTTAAAGGGCAAATTCACTTTAATTAAAATGCATGTTCTCACTTACATCCGTCCACTCGTTATTAGATATCATTCTCAAAAACAGTGCGAATGATTCTGCCGCCACCCGAATGCAATTAATTCTACAATGATGTGAATTTCGTATCCTCATTACCCTTGATAACTTACAGACCTTGTGGTGGCTGCGACTAATAATTACCACCTGGAACAGTGTTGAGACTGCTTGTATTGTTTTCACCTTGAAAGTCTGTCTGAATGTGTCGTCATGGCGAAATGTGATCCAGGTGACAGCTACTGTAGCAGGAACTAATAATAAAGCCTTTGCCAGGTGTTCATGTGTCTGTCTATTCTTCTGTGGCTTTTTGCCTTCATTTGATAGTACAGTCTAAACATGAAAGGGAGAGGGATGGTGGATGACATGCAGGAAAGGGTCGCAATTGAACCTGCAGGCGCTGCAGCAAGGACATAGCCTTTGTCTATGGGACATCTGCTCTACTCACTAAGCCACCTAGCTCCCCTGTGGACGGAGTTTCTCAATGCCATAGTGTCACAACCGTGCAAAATGGAGTCACGGAACTACACAGGTGTTTAGTTGGGATCACAGTGAAGGCTGGGTTTGGAGATGGGTGTGGACCGAGCAAAGGGACTAGAAGTAGGGGAATGAGAAGACTATCCCAATGGCTGTATCGCAGCTGGAGTGATTCCACTGTAAGATGGTCTCCAGTTGATTTCATTATTAATTCATTAGTAATACTTCTTTTTTTGACAGGCCAAAATCCAATTTATAATTATATGAAAAATGAAAAGAATGTTTTGCATTTTTGCCTACAAATGACTTAAAAAATAAAAATAAAAAACAATGAAATGCGTTGTTAGTTAAATAAGCTAATTCAGTGGTTCCCAACTGGTCCAGCCACAAGGGCCAGATTTCTCCTTAGTCATTAGTTAATACAGTTTAATACATTTAGCGTCATACTTACACTAGTTTGCTGTCTCTGTCAAGCAGCTGTCCATTAGTCACTCATTCTACAGCAGGAAATCACACTTCAAAATAAAAGCTTTGTGCCGGAAATACGCTGTACTTAAAAATAAAGCGTGATTTTTACAAATTTTATGGCGACCCACCCACTGGGAACCACTGAACTAACTGATTAATCAACTGTCTCAGCTGGTTAAAATATTTTCCCTCTGAAAACTGACTATCAAGAAAATTTGGTAAACATTTTTTCAGGAAAGGGTCATTGCTGCTGAATTTTTTAAACTGTTATTTTTCAGTGTTGTGAGCAGAACAAACCAAATTCCAGTCACATTTGTTGTAATGAGGTGGAGGCAGAAATCTAACCTGACCTGATTTTTGAGCCACACAACTTATTTTGGAGTCGCGCCAAATTTCAGCTTTGTTGGTACATTTGACATGCAGTGTTCAGGGGGGAGCGAGGACCAATCATCAGCAGTCGGACAATTTTGGTTGGTTGTGACTGGACTGAACCATTTTTGCAGATACTGACTTTTAGTCTGTTTCTGGGTCTTCTGTGTCTGCAATGCTATTCTGATGTCCGTATCTCCGCCAGCAAACATTTCTACCTGCCTGCAGACGCAGAACTTTAAAACACATCGTTTCGCCTTTATTTGATAGCACAGTGCGTGAAGCGTGTGCGGGGGAAAGAGAGACGATGACACGCAGCAAAGGGCAATGGGTTGGAATCGGACCCGCAGGTGCTGGGGCAGGGACGTAGCCTTTGTGCATGGGATACCCGCTCTACTTGCTGAGCTATTGGGCGCCCTGACAGACAGTTTTATTGTCTACTTTAGACGTACAGTGTGAGAACTCAGGTTGTGGTTTGACAATCAGACCGCACAGTGTGAGGTAATAAATCATGAGCTTTGGATTTACATCGCAGACGATATTCTCGTACAGTGGGAGTGGAAATCATCAAATCATAACGTGAACACCATCTGTAAGAGACAGAAATCTCAAAATACAACCATCAGCATGGCAGTATACCACAAAAGGCAGGTGATAAGGTATGTTTTGTTGGTAATTTCAGTTAATTAATCAGTTAAGCACACCTTTCCATTATGTTTTCATCCACCTAAACCAAACCACCCCATTTATGATCATCGACTTTGTGTTAGACAATTCTTTTTCTATGCACATGACAAGTGTGTCACCACAAAACTAAAATAGCATAGCAACAAGGTTCTGTTCCAAAATGTTCAAACTTTCGTTATATGTAGGACGTCGGATCATTTGTTACACCGTTCTCATGGATTCTGGGAAACACACACATTCACACACCTGACCCAGATGCAATATTCCTCTGATCCGACACCACGCTGTGAGGGACTAAAGCAAAGTTTTATGGCGAGGGTAAATTTAAAGAAGAGCCTGACAGTTACTGCGGGGGAGTGGATGAATTTATGTGCCCCGTTATGTCCTTCTGTCGTCACCTCTGCAGATGATCCCGTGTGTTACGTGTGTGTGTGCATATGTGCGTAAATGAGATGCGGTGCTCTTTTTAATAACACAGACATCATCTGACGTGTCAAAACACATGTCGTTAAAGGGGAACAGTGCAACAAATGAGTGTGTGTGTGTGTGTGCCCTCATGTCTCTGCACATGTGCACTTCTGTATGCGTGGGTGTGAGTGTGCGATAAGGCTGAGCTGTGGTGTCTAAATCTCAGAGCTCAAAGGTTTCCTTCATCTCAAGCAGGACCCTACAGGTATGTGACTCCCCCCTCCCCCCCTCCTGTCTCCCCTCTCGCTCTCACCCACCCCCCCGTGGCTCAGCGTTCACCAACAAGGCCGGTATTGTAGCGAGGGTAAAACGATAGCGCTCAGGGACGGGTTCAGCTATGTGGTTACCCAGACAACCTCTCATACCCCCTTCCCCACCTCAATCCCTCTACCACCACCCATCCCCCCACCCCCCCCCCCCCCCCCCCCCCCTCCCCCCCAACGAGCCTGCATACATCCATTCATTTTTTGGGTGACTTTCTGTGAGAAAAAAAAAAGGAGCGAGAGAAAGAAAGGAACGAAAGGTGTGTTTTATCTGGGCCGCTTGAATGCAGAGGGGCACTGAGGTTGAAGAGGACAAAGCCAGTCGCATAGAGACACCGAGACAGAGGTCAGCAAGGGCAGAAGTTATTCTTCCACAAAGAGATATGAGCTGGTATTTTGGAAATCAAAAGGCCTTTCAGGGATGTTTTCTGAACAGCAGCGATGTGAAACAGAATACACAGACATTAGAGTTGCTGTTGCATTTAAGGTGCCATTTTAAAACCACAAACAGAAACACATGCTGCAGTTTGATGCTTTGATTTAGCTCCTTTGAATTTAACATCTGTCTCACTGTTCATCAAAAGTGTGTGCCAGTCTCTCTTAATGCTTGGTGTGTGTGTCCTACCTTGTGTGTGTGTCTCTGGTTCACTGTTTCGTGGACTGCTGCGGAGTCGTCTCTCTGGCTTTTTCCCTCCTGGACTGCCGAGGCCGCCCCCTGACCCCACTGACCCGAGCGATGGGGCGTGTGATTTGTTGCTGCATCAGAAAATAAAGTTACAAAAACATTTCATGTAAGTTACAGGGAAAAAATACAATGTAATGCAAACCAAAACCTCAATAGAAGCTTAAAATGTAAAAGAAGCCATAGCCAAAGCCATCGCCGAGGGCCACAGTAGCAGTATAGTCACCTGTATCCGTTGTGTGCTGGCCCCAGGCTGCCCTTATAGAGAGTGGAGGGAGGGGAGTTGAGTCGGTTCTGTCGCTCTAGTTGTCTCTCCTTTATCTTTTTGGGCTGTGGCTTACTGTACGTCTCCTCTCTGCCTATGAAGTTAGACATCCCATAAACCGGGATGATTTCTGAAAGAGGAGATGAAAGCCGAGAATTTATGTCAGACTAAAAAAAAATCTGCACAAAGCATATTTTTAATTGGATTAATAATAGGATTTTTAATTCCACATAAATCTCCTGATTTCTTGGCAGCAGAATAAAGTCCAGTCAGCATGTCAGTACCTGGATCACCGTACATGGGGGGAAGGTGGTGCTGGTAGTACTGGTGGGGAGGCAGCTCCCCGGGGCTGACAGGGGGGTAGAAAGAGTGAGAGTTGGGGATGAAGTGGGGGTGAGCCAAGTACGGGGGCAGGTGGTGTGTGGGGGAGAGGGCCGGAGAGTAGGAAGGAGGGTAGCATTCTGGAGACTGGGGGGTCACCACCACCCGGCGGACCCCTGTGGTGTCCTCCAGCACCTGCGAGAGACACAGAAGAGAAAGAGAGATGAGTGTAAGACGAATAGAAATATGTTTCAGGATGTCACAGTTAACAGTGCACAGCTCATAAGGACTTTTGTAACCACAAATCATACAAGGTGAGTAAACACACACACAGTCTGTGAGTGCTATATACGTTGTTGGGTGGAGGGTTCCCTTGATAGTGCTCTTGTGTTTCAGGAGTGGTTCAGGAATCAGTTTGTTTTTTGTTATGTAGTTTCAGTTGGAAAATGAAATCAAAATCTGCATCCAGAGGATAATGTACAGATCAGTTAGAGGGGGTAGCCTCCTTCTACTGGAGGAGTAAATCTTATGATTTAAGCGGGATTTCGTCAAATCAACGCTGTACCTACGGCGTAGCCTGACGTGCACCTCCCCAGAAATGTAACTCTACGTCACGGCACACACCTCCTGTCTAATTTTGTAAGCTGAAACAATTTCCCTCAGTGGAAACAAAGCTTCTATTTACTTTAATTTCACAGATAAGAAATAATAGATCGTGAAGACAATAAAGCCTCCACAAAATAGCATTTTTAGTCTTGTGTGTGATTTTTGCTGTTGTCCCTGGCTTCATATGAGTAGAAGAAAAGTCCACTAGCCACTAGGCTAATTCATACAATGTAAAATGCCATAGGCTTGTGCTAAAAACATTAGCATGTTGTATTTGTAGGGAAAATGTGTCCAACACCATACGTCCAGCTCTACTGGGTGACAATGCAGGTGGATGCCCCCCTGGTGTCCTGGATTGTAGACTACTTGACTGGCAGACCACAGTATGTGCAACGCTTGCAACGCTCTGTGTCAGACAGAGTGGTCAGCAATACCGGGGCCCCGCAGGGGACTGTCCTCTCTCCCTTCCTCTTCACCCTCTACACCACGGACTTCAGCTATTGCACTGAGACCTGCCATCTTCAGAAGTTTTCTGATGACTCTGCTATAGTTGGATGTATCACCAAGGGTGATGAGGATGAGTACTGGGCTGTTGTGGATAACTTTGTCACATGGTGTGAGCAGAACCATCTGCAGCTCAACGTGGCAAAGACAAAGGAACTGGCTGTGGATCTGAGGAGGACCAAGACACCGGTGACCCCTGTTTCCATCCAAGGGGTCAGTGTGGACATTGTAGAGGACTATAAGTACCTGGGGGTACACATTGACAATAAACTGGACTGGGCTAAGAACACTAACACTCTCTACAGGAAGGGCCAGAGCCGTCTCTATTTTCTGAGGCGACTGAGGTCCTTCAACATCTGCCAGACTATGCTCAGGATTATGAGTCTGTGGTGGCCAGTGCTATCCTCTATGCTGTTGTGTGCTGGGGCAGCAAGCTGAGGGTGGCGGACGCCAACAGACTCAACAAACTGATCCGCAAGGCCAGTGACGTCGTGGGAACGGAGTGTGACTCTCTGATGGTGGTGTCAGAGAGGAGGATGCTGTCTAAGCTACGAACTATCTTGGACAATGTCTCACACCCACTCCACCATATGCTGGTCAGGCACAAGAGTACTTTCAGTGGGAGACTCATACCACCAAGATGTACCACTGAGCGCCACAGGAAATCATTCCTGCCTGTGGCCATGAAACTGTACAACTCCTACCTCTGAGTGGCCCTGAGACTTTTTCACACACTGCAATAACCTAATTTAACTTGTGCAATAACCCCATTCACCCAGACTGTATATATTCTGTTTGTGTAAATAATCTTGTTCAGTTTACAAAATATATATATATATATATATATCAAGCCCACCGTCTGAAAAAGCTCAGTCTGCTCTGACTGGTCAGCATTTCCAGGTGTTCCACATCTGCAAACTGAGCATCTCTGCACTATTATTGCAGCCATGAAAGGACTGCAACAGAATATAACGGCACTTCCTTCCATGAAAAATCACCAATAAAAGCCTCTAAACCAAACTTGACATTTTCTAATGGTAATATGAATGGAAATCAGGGAGAAAATAACAACATCGAACATTACAGGTCTGATGTCAGTTTGTCACTAAAGTAGAAATAAACATCGGAAACAGAGCATTCAGAGTGGTCTGAAGCCTGAGGTTTCTGCTACCGAAGATAAGATTCACACATGTTTACCTCACTATTTGAAACTTTGGCCATGTTTCATGAACGTCTGACACTGCAAAAATATATACGTGACAGAAAATAATGAAAAGCATAATAGGTCCCCTTTATAGGACTAGTTACATGCTTATTGAGTTAGATGAGAGGATAGATTCCACTTTTGTTTCTGTGAATAAGAAGCTCCAGCAAGCGGGTATCAATCTCATTTGGCGAGAAAGTTAATAAGCAAATTCCAAAATTGTTTACACCTAATTTTAAAGGTCTTTGAGCAGCTGCTCTAACAAAATGATGCTCTCAATCATTTTTTGTAAGAGCAGGTGTCCCGTCTGCTGAGTGCTGTGTATCTAATAAAAGGATGAATCACGTAATTTATTTAACAAGTGAGACTTTGTGTTAACAGGAGGCTTTGGCCTTTTAAGTGGTGAAAACAATCGCTGCAATGTTGTCATCAGATGGTCTGCAGATTTCAATGGCAGCCAGTTTCAAAGAACTGCTTCAAATTAACATAGATTTCATACATGCATTCACTTTCACATTCATGGACTGGGACACACACACACACACACACACACACACACACACACATTCCAACTATTCAGACACTTTCACAGGCCTGCATTCCAAGCAGAGAGCAAACACACACTCCCTGCAGAGAGGGGAAGTCATCTGCTGGTCCCTAACAACAACAACAACAACACACATGCACACACACTCTCTCTCACACACACACACACACCAAATAACACTACCCCAAAACCCCCGCACACACACTGAGCAGCAACAGACTCGGAGCCAGAATACAACAGACAGAAAGAAAGAAGACAGAGTGTTAAAGGGGGTCAGGAGGGGAGGAAGAGGGTTACAGGACTAATCCGAGTGAGAAAAACTGAGAGAGGGGGGAGAAGAAGGGGAGGAAGAGGAGGCCCCCCATCTGCCCCTCATCCCCTCCTCTGCTGCAGAGGAGAAAAACACCATGTTTACAGGAAAACAAGGGCAAAGTCCCTGCGTGAGTACATGTGGATCCGACCTACAAACCCACGCAACATTTACTGGCAAGGACTCACACATATTCCAAATAATACGAACTGGAAGGCACATGCAAATACGTTTGCACATGTGCGCACACACACACACCCACCATCACAATGCAGACATTAGCACAAACCACTAAGGACACACACAGGCAAACACACGTGCAAAATCCATCTGTCAGTGCATTACTTTCCACCACCGCAGTGCTCTGTCTCCATCCGTCCCTTCTTCCACCCCTCACCCCACAAAGAGCTCACCCACCCCGCGCCTGTCTCCCCTATCAGGCTTGTTTATGTAACAGTGACAGTGTTTCCCGCTCACACTTGGCCCAGTCCCTACTAACACACACACCCACATGCATGCAAACACAAACACACACCCACGGTGAGCCAATGACCTGACTTCCATTGGCATAGGAACACAATCCCACCACATGCAGACCGCAGATGCGTTGGTAACTCTATATTTGTGAGGACAGACTACTGACTCTTGTTGATTCAACAACCTTTGACCCCTCCACACCAGTGACATGGCAAACCCAACCTTTATCCAACTTATAATGTCACACTTGCATGTCAAAATCATCTCTAAACGTCCATACAGATCTCATCTTTCTGTTCTTGTGAGGACATCTGATAGAGAACTCTCTCTGTCTCAAACACACATGAGAGGGTCAGAAAAACAAGTGCCCCTGACACCCAAAATTCAGCACATTCCTGCTCGGTGTTCGGTTGGTGGAGGAGGCTGCCTTGGTTACTTGTCTTTCTAAACTACAGCAGCCAGGATAGGTGGAATCACTGGTGCATGCAAAGCTCTTCCACATATATGTGGGATTTATACTCGACATGGAGGCTATGCTGTACCCCACGCTGTAGCCTGACATGCACCTCCCTAGAAATGTAACTACACGTCGCAACCACACAGACAATAAATTGTGAAGACAATAAAGCCTCCACAAAATAACATTTAAGGCTTGTGTGTGTCTTATCCTGGCTTCATATTGTCACTAGGCTAATTTGTACAATGTAAAATGTAACTGGCTTGTGCTAATAACGTTAGCATGTTATATTTGTTTGGAAAACGTCTTTAGTATAAGACAGTTGTTTTGTCGGTGAACCTTGTGAGTTGTAATGGAGACAAATTTTGTAACGTTACCTTTGTTAAATGTTGCTGTTGTCCCTGGCTTCATATGAGTAGAAAAAAAGTAAACTAGCTGCTAGGCTAATTTATACAATGTAAAATGCCACAAGCTTGTGCTAATAACGTTAGCATGTTGTGTTTGTTTGGAAACATGTTTAGTATAAGACAGTTGTTTTGTCGGTGAACCTTGTGAGTTGTAATGGAGACAAATTTTGTAACATTACCTTTGTTAAATGTTGCTGTTGTCCCTGGTTTCATATGAGTAGAGTAAAAGTCCGGTAGCTGCTAGGTTAATTTATTCAATGTAAAATGCCTTAGGCTTGTGCTAATAATGTTAGCATGTTGTATTTGTGGGGAAAATGTGTCCAGTGAAAGACAAATGCTTTGTCTGTGAAATGCTGAATATAGGTGATAGACCATTTTCCCATGACCACTAGACTAGAGCCATGTAAACAGCTCTGCAATAGTGTAGCTTTATCTTATTTTTTTTTTTCTGGTGTGTCATGGCATTAATCCACTGGTAAACAAAAAAAAAAATCTTTTTCATATTTCTCACTTATTTAGTCTCTCTCTCAAATTTGGTGCCAACTAAATTTCGATCGATGTCGAAGCACTGCTTGGACGGAATTAATGGCGGCAAGTCATTGCATCGCCACCCTGGTTAGTATTTCCATCACTGCTGATCGAAGCTAATCAGAGCTGAAGCTGATAAATACTTGTGACTACTGCAGAAGCATTTATCCTGGGTATGAATGCCGATGGTAACCTTTCTCAATAAATACAAAAGACAGATGTCAGTGGGTGTTAATGGGTTTTTTGTCCAGTGGGAAAAGTGGCTTGACTTTCTATATCTGTTTTACTCTGTATTTGCTTTAGATCTCTCATGTTGCATAACCATAATTGCAATGTTACCATTTTGTGGCTTTAAATACATAATTGTAATTTCATTTTCCTTCCTGCATTTCAGGAATTTTCCAGCATCAGTACATTGAAGCAAATGAGAAAGCAGGCTGCTCCACTGGCACCAGTGACCTGACACCTAATGAAATAAATACTTAATATATTTCCCTTGGAAAGTTTTTAAATCATGGCAGGTTTGTTTACTTATCACTTACTTGTTGCTAATAAAAATAAGATTTTAAGAGTCAATGTAAGATCACATGATGGCATTAGAAGCCTTTTTTTTTGGAGGAACAAAACCTCTGGCTAATTAAATGCAGTCGCACTCTGTGTTGGTCTCCCTCTGTGTCTGCCTGGAACTCTCCAGCAAAACACAAACACATGATGAAAATAAAAAAAGAGAACCATGTCTGAGAGGCTCAGATGGAGGAAAAACACAAACACAAGCCAACCTGTGAGATGTATCCTGGGGGGACGTGGATTGGGGGGATTGACCCATTTGGGGACATCATGGGAACCTCAGCAGGACCTGCAGGAAGACAGAAGAATTATTTATTCAAGCAGGCAGCTAAAGTAAGTTCTCATTTACATTCGTCAATCGACAGTACACATGCAGGGACACAAACACAGCCACACACAGTGAGGGGCAGGGCAGTTTGAAGGGAAGCACAGATGTGTCTCGCTTTGTTGTTACATGCCCCTTATTCCACTGAATCAATTTGTACCAAATGTAGATGTTAGCCAGTCTTTCCCTCTTATTCCTGTAAGACAGACTTAAAGGGACGGTTTACCCCCCAATCAAAAATACATTTTCCTTTTATCTGTATAGCTATTTATCATTCTCGAATGTTTTGGTGTAAGCTGTTGAGTGTTTGAGATGTCGGCCATAGAGATGTCTGTCTTTTGTCAAATATAATAATAGAGATAGATGGTACTCGGCTTGTGGTGCTCAAAACCCTCCAAAAGCAGATTTGAAAAACTCAACAGCAATGTCTCTTTCCAGTAATCATGACCCGGTTACTCAAGACAATCCACAGACCTTGTTGTGAGCCATTTCATGTAGGAACTATTTTCTTTTTACCAAACTACATCCGCCAACCGTATCACAGCAGAGAAGAAAGCATGCTAGCTCACCTAGCACCACTGAGCTAGATAATGTTACAGCAAAGCCGAGGAGGACACCATTAACATTAATTAAAACATGGGAAGAAACGATGAGCAATGAAAGAATTTAAAAACAAAAACAAAAAAAAACAGTGAGAAAAAAAGACAGAAAAGAAAGAAAGGAAAAAAGAAAGTAAAGACCAAGGAAATGACCTGGAAATCTTTTTTTTTTTTTTTTTTTTGCAATTTGTGGAACATTCCTTAAGCCCAGTTCAGATAAGTTGAAACAGGCAACCACTTGTGATGCGCCATTCTGCAACGTTCTAAAAACCTGCCGGTTCACGCCAATGCAACTAGATGAGATGGTGTATCATCTCTATGCAACAACTCTCTGTACTTCTGTTCTGATTTCCAGCTTTTCAGGCTTATTTTGTGGCTGAATTTAATTTGTAGCTTCTTAAGATATGAATGAGGATAGTGATAGTGAGATACTGGCTACAGTTGCATTTGTAGTAGTGATGACACGGCAAAAAAACAAAACAAGCATCACATGGACTGTATTCATGATAAATACGTCACAAACCAGCGCCAATTAATCAGTCAGTGAGAGCGTGTGTGTGTGGTGGTAGGGCATGAGCACCTACAGCAAGCAGCAGCAGCGACCCATTGTCCGACACCGGCACACCGTGAGGACGGAAACAGAGGACTCGGTGCAAGCTAACAAGCCATCTGCGGTCACTTTGACTTGACCAGTGGACTTCACTAAGTGACACTGCAACTTCACACCACTGTAACTTTTCTCAACGTTCTAAAATGGTTTCTTCTGGTCGTGACTCATTGGTCTGAACTGGGCTTTACAAAGTTGCTCAATGTCTTTTTTCCCCATGTTTTTTAAAGAAAGTGCACCAACTAGCTCAGGGTTCAAAGGTTTAAATACTTGCAAACGGCGTCTGAAAGCAGCACAAGAGAAGTGGAGTCGCTCCATAGAGTAGAAGGTGGACATCTCTACGGCTGATATCTCCAACACTTGGCAACTCACACCTAAACAACCTAGACTGATAAACAGCAGTACAGGTTTTTGATTTTGGAGCTGAACTGTCCCTTTAAAGCTCTTGGCGATGACGATGTCTGTATCATCGTGATGGATGGATGTACAACACACAAGGGCACACGGCTGCTCGCTGAAAGAGAAAACCTCCGCTCTGAAGGAGCAGCAACAGAATCTAATAGAATTAGCAGATTGAAAATGATGTTGACTTTTCCACAATCTGTATACCCCCCCGCCCCGGACTCCCTCCAACTCTCTCTTCCTCTGTCTCTGTGTGATGGAGGTCTGCGGCTGGTAAAGTCATTGGGACCCCGTTGGGACAGCTGGAGGCAGACCTGGCCTCAGAATAAATCACACTGCACACACACACACACACGGAGGCCATTACCTCCCAACACAAGCACGATACTGACAGTTTCTGTCAAATGTCAGTTGAATATTTAAATCCTAATTTCCTTTAAAGGGTCATTTCACCCAAATTACAAACCTCCCATATTTTCTCACTTACTCAAGCTGTTTTTCCTTTTGTAATTTGGGTGAACTGACCCTTTAACTCCTGTTTGCCTTGCTTTCCTCTCATTTCCTCTCTTCCTTTCACCCGGTCTCCTCCATCAACTCTTGTGTCTCACTTTTCTCTTCCCTCCATCCTTCCCTGTACCTTCACTCTCCTACTCTTACTCACTTCATCCTGCTTGTCTTTCCATCTTCCCTTCTTCCTCCATCCCTCCATCCCCGTCCCAGGAATTCCTCCTGCATGACCCTGCCTCCTTCACCTATTACTCACATCCTTCACTCCCTCCTTTCATTTGAAATGTTACTCACTTCATCCTTTCCTCACTTTCCCGCTTCATCCTTACTTATTTCCCTAAGTCATTCTCTCCCCCCCCTCCTCTCCTAAATCATCCCCTCTCTCCTTCCATCCCTCCATCCCCATCTCCATCTCTCACCCACCTCCCTGACCTCTCACCAGCCAAACAAACACGTAACAGTACAGTAAACACACACACACCTACACACGCACAAACACAACCTGAGCAAAGTCTGCCCTGCGTCCGTGTGTGTGAGTAGTGAGTAGGTCACAGGTATGAGGAGACAGACCTCTTTCAGTCCCGTCTGTTCCCCTTCCATCGAGACCAGGGGTGGATATGAAAGTCCTCATTGAGTAAGAAGGTCATAGCATGGGGAGAACACACAAACACAGAGCTCCTCTAAACCACTTTCCATCACTGCTCCTCGGAGCAGCGCACTTTCCCTCCTGCTCACACACACTGTCCCAAATACACACTCTGTCTATGTGTCTCAGTCGCCCTCTCTCAGACACACACACACACTCTTGACAAACAGACGTGTGTTTGGACAGTCTCTGCTGCCTCTGTGCTCTTCACTCAGCAAACAGCAGCATTCCTCTGCTCACACACACACACACATACACACACACGCACACACACATGCATGCAGTGAACATTCCCATCCCTGGCCCCCAGGACTGGACCCAACAGGCCCAACTACCCCCCAACCCCTACCCAAAATACAAGACACTCTTTGTCCTGCTACCCTTCATACACTCATGCACACACACACACACACACACACACACACACACACACACACACTGCAGTAAGTCATATAATATTGGACTGTTTGCCATTTAGAGAAGCTCAGGATAATCAAGCAGATGAACGTGTGCACTCAAGTGGTTGTTATAATGCTTGTGTGTGTGTGTGTGTGTGTGTGCACATGAAAGAGTGAGTGTGCTCCATGATCCACACTGTGCTAACGTCACTCCCTGGTCTTGCCTCCAGCTTTGCCCTATAAGCACCACAAACAGAGTCACGACTTCCTCTGCCTAATCCCGCTGGAATCCCAGACAACACAGCTAACACACTCCGCTCCCCTCTGCCCCCCCCCCCCAATTTCTCATTCATCTTCCATCTGTTGCGTCTTCCGCTTCCGACTACCGGAGGGGTCAGGTCAGGGATCAGTTATGAGGTCACATCCTGCATGTGGGATGACATGGCCGTATCACCTGAGCGATTGAAGGGCATAAGCATGTGTAATCTGCTCCTCTGAGAGGCATCAAAGGGGCATCCGGCTCCGGTTGATGAACTTGGTGTAGTTTCCAAAAACAAATAAAGATCAGTTTTTCCTCATGGCTATAACAGGAACACATATCCCATAGACCCTGATGTTTCCTGTCACCTGTTGCTCATCCTCTTCTATATTCTGCCAACAAGCATTCCACCCAAAATAAAGAAAAAGGGAAAAGCTCAGGCCTGGTTTTAATTTAATATTTTCATTAATGGGCTTTGGGTGATAACACCATTATAGGATTATCTTTTCTTTTTAACATAATTCTGCTAAATTAATTACTCCTAGCAAATTGAGATGAGAAGCTAAATTATTTTTTTCCAGGTAAAAACAAACATCAAACTGATTATACTGCATATCTGATTTTACTGTGAAACTATCACAAAAAATATCCTTAATAGTACTGTGATAATGTCCTTTCCTAAGAGCTAACAGTAAACATATTAGTCGGGATTCCAGAATTTTGCCCTAAATGTACAGCTAAGGCAAGCCAATCACAAACCTCATTTCCTGCTTGCCTTGGATCGACAGCGAAGCCAGCCAATCACAAACATCCCCTTGAGCGAGGGAGACGTGTTGCTGCTAGCAACTTGCTAGTACACGCTACACAACAGAAAATTTAAGATGGAAGCGGAAGACAAGGTCGGTGCAGATTTGGTGGCGAAAAATAAGTCAACCTCCATTATCTGAAGGTACTTCGGTTTTAGACAGGAGGATGTACAACAGAGCGAGGTGTTGTGTCGGTCGTGCTTCGCGAAAGTCGTGACGAAGCACATGCATCATCACCTAAAACACCACCACCGAGTACTGTATGAAGAGTGCCTTGCAATGAAAGACACGGCGGGGACATCTGGGGCCTCCTGTGTCAAGCCCAAGCAAGGTCAGATTGCCGATGCATTCAGCAGCATAATGCCATGAATCGACGTCCAGCAGGTACAAAGACATTACAAGCGCTATAACGTACCATATTGCTAAAGACATGATTCCTGTGTATTCAGTCACTAAAGAGGGCTCCTTTGGTATTAATATGCCGTTTTTTTTTTTTTAAATAATGCTGAACCCATAGTCATATCATATTGTATCGATATCGAGATATCTGGCATAAATATCGAGATATGACATTTTGTCCATATCGTTCAGCCCTAATAAATGGGGTGGTTTGGCTTAGGTGGATGAAAACATGATGGAAAGGTGTGTTTAACTGGTTGATATACTTAAATAACCAGCAAAATATACTTTATCACCTACCTTTTGTGGTATATTGCAATGCAGATAGCTGTATTTTGAGA